CCAGTGGGGCCTACCAGGATTGCGCATGAATTGCGACAGCGTCGCGACAGGGAATGCTATATCAGGCCTGGTGCTAGTGGCTGCGTACATCAGCGAGCCAATGGCTCGCTGATACGGCACGTTGCGCATGGCCTGGATCTCCTGCACTGTGGCAGGTCCCTGCTCAACGGACAAGGTAAGTGTTGGCTCCATCGGCGTCTGCGCACTCTTAGCGTCTCCCATGTAGAAGTGTTCGACGATCGTGTCAACATAGGCTTTTTGCGAGAGGGTCAAGGTACATGCGCCACGGTCTCGTGTTACCTTTAGGCCTAACAACCAGCTTAGCTCGCCTAGGTCCGTGATTTCGAAGAATTCGCGGAGGTGGGACTTGAAACGGGTGATGTGGGAGGTGCTGTTGGCGGTGACGGCCATGTCGTCCACGGAAACGGTGATGACGACGTGTTCTCCCGGTGCCCGCCTGTAGTACACTGCCTGGTCCACCTTGGACCGGGTGAATCCTATCTTCGCAAAGACTCCCGCTAACTCCTCAGCCCACTCAAAACCGGCCTGCTTCAAACCAGGTAAGCTCCTTCGCAGCCGCAACACCTTTCCTCGCTGACTCTCTGTGAGATAGCTTTTTATATCGACCTGGTGGATCTCCCAGTCGTTCTGAGCCGCCATTGTCAGCACAGTGCGTATGGTGCTCATGTTGGCTGTCGGCACGAACGTGTCGAAGTAGTCAACGCCGAATTGCTGCCTCTGGCCGTTGGCAACGAGTCGTGCCCGCAGTTTGAGTTTTTCGCCGTCGGGTCCACGTTTCGTGGCCAAAACGAAATGGCAGGGGATGAGGTTAGCGCCACGAGGTAAGTCTACTACTTCCCACGTCCCCAACTTCTCAAGTTGACTAATCTCGTAATCAACAGCTTCTTGCCACTCTACTCCATCCGGTCCGTTTAACGCCTGCTGCAAGGTGGGCTCTGGTTGGGCAACTGCCAAGGCAAGTTGAAGGTGAGTCTCTTCGTCCACTAAATCTACCTCTGACGCTTCCAACAGGTTCTCCATCGCTATGGCCGCTGCATTGCTGCCTTCGTTCAGGCTCGCATAGTAGCCTGGAGGAGGTCTGGCCCTCGTGGTCCTTGGAGGAGTAGATGGCTGAGGTTGCTGCTCGGTAGATGGTTGAGGTTGCTGGGCGGTAGATGGTTGAGGTTGCTGCTGCAAGGTAGTGGTGATGGGCTGGACGCTATGAGGTAAGTTATTATTATTACTGTTGCCGCTGTTATGTTCGTTAACAGCGGTAGGCTCCCCCTCATCCAGTGCATCCACCAGGATCTCTGCCGGTGCAAAGGTGAGGTTCCTCTCCACCGATACACGGTGTTTCCCCGGCCAGTACACCCTATAACCCTTGCTTTCAGCATCTACACCCACAAATACGGCTTCTACAGCCTTCGGCTCTAGCTTCCCACCCTCCAGCACGTGCACAAAGACCTTCGCCCCAAACTCATGGGCGCGCGACAAATCCGGCTTGCACTTTCGCACCAGCTCGTAGGACGTGGTGCCGGGGATGGACCTTGAAGGTAAGCGGTTCTTTAGCCATGCTGCGTAGTTGATGGCTTCTGCCCACAGATACTTTGGTAGGTCCCGTCCTATCAACATCGCCCTCGCGTGCTCCACCAACGTCCGGTTCAGATGTTCGGCTATGCCATTCTGCTGCAGTGAGTCGTGGACTGTCAACTGACGTTCAATGCCTTGCTGACGGAGGTACAGGTCGAATTCGGCGCTAAGATATTCTCCCCCTCTGTCCGAACGGACTTTACGAAGCGTGACGGCCAGCGTCTGACGCGCCAGCCATGCTTCATAAGCCTTGAAGGCGGTAAGTGCTTCGCTCTTCAGTTTCAAGAACTGAACCTTCGTCTGCCTGCTGTAGTCGTCGGTGAAGCTGATGTAGTAGAGGCTCCCGTTTAGACTGGTTGTCTGCGCAGGTCCCCACAGGTCTGTGTGCACTAAGTCTCCATAGGTAAGTGCGCGCGTACTGGACTCATCTGGGTAGGGTTTCTGCGTTGACTTCGCCTTCACACAGACATCGCAAAACTCGGGCTTGGATGCGAGGTCCAGCTCTATACCGGTGACGAGGCTCTTCTTCACGGCGTCCATGGCTGCTGCTTGGGAGGTGTGTCCTAGGACACGGTGCAGGCTCCCTACGGTGAGTTTTTGCCTTGCTACATTGGCATGATGCATCTGACGACGCGCAACGACGCTGTAGAGTCCCTCCAGCTGCGGAATCTCGGCGATAACATGTCGCTTCGGCCCTTGGGAGAGGATCTGGCACATGCGTCCCTCGAAGAGGACTGCTAGGCCAGCCGCCGTTATCCTGTTTGTGGAGATAAGGGTGAATGCCATCCTAGGTGCGTATAGCGCATTTTTCAGCGTCACAGTCGTGCGCTTCTGACCCATTGGCAGCTCTATCTGAACATCACCTCGGCCTATGGCACTTAGAGTCGAGCCATCGGCTGTGCAAATGTCCTGGGGAGGGATACTGACAAAGTTCATGAACTTGGCCCGGTCTGGGCAAAAGTGGGAGGTTGCGCCCGAATCTACGATGGCGCCTCTCTTTGCCACAGGTACGTTCAGCTCCCCTGCCACGCTCGCCAAATCTGACGTGACAAAGGCATACTGGTCGTCGTGGGACTCTGGCTGTGTGGCCAAGTTGGCTGCCTGCTTCGGCGCCTTCTCGCCCTTCTTCTTTTGCTGGTTGGGGCCTTGCCCTTCCTTCCCACCACCGGGGCACCAACAGTCTGTCTTATAGTGGCCCTTCCGGTCACAATTGAAACAGGTGATGTCCGAGTTCGTTTTGGAGGTGCCGGTTGACACTCTGCCCTTGCCCTTAGCTTCTCTTGCAGAGAGGGCGGACCCAGATGCTCCCTTTTTGGTAGGACGTCGTTCGGTGAGTAACCGATGTTCGTATTCTTCGGTAATGATACTGATTAGCTCGTAGGAGGTGAGTGGACTCTTGGTGATTTTGGCTGCTGCGCTGATGGAGGATAGAAGAGGTCGGTAGGATTCTGGTAGGGATCCTAGGATGATGGCGTGGAAGTCGATGTCGACGATAGCCGCCCCCATCCCGGCCAACGATTCGCGCAGCCTCATGAGCTCTGCGAAGTGGGCTCTTACGTCCCCTCCTTCATCACACCTTGTTTCCTGCAAGCGGCGCCGTAAGTCTATCTGCACGAGTTCGCTTTTGCCCTCGTGAATCTGACATATCTCATCCCAGATGTCGGATGCCTCCCCAAGCTTTTGGACACGCAGTAGCAGCCGATCGGTGATCGTGCTGAATATCTGCTGCTTCACCAGTGAGTTCTTCTGGTGGTACTCGTCGATCTTCTGATCGAGCTCGTCTATTTCAGTCTGCGATGGCGTTGACCCGTCAGGCTTTTTAACGGCCTTGGTTTTCGGATCGACGACGAAAGGAATAGGCTCGCAGACTCGACCATCGGTATATCGCATCAAACCTCGCGCTCCAATAGCCGTTAGTGTTCGTTCTTTGTAAGTAATCCAGTTCGAGCCGTCTTCTGCGAGCTTCGGGATATTGAACAGGCTGGAGTTGGTAGCGGGGAGCGTAGATTCCATGATGGTGGCAGGGCTCATAACCTAAAGGCGTTTATAACGAGCGCGGGAACAACGAGGAGTCTAGAACGACAAAAGATCTCAGTGTCTTGGACGAAACTCTATTACAAACGGTGCGTCTACCTAGAACGAGAAAGCTACAGCTAACGTTAGACGTGTTAACAACTCTAGGTGACTTTTAGAACGTACATCTCAGTGTCTTGAACGAAACTGAGATGCACCTGTGCTACTGGTACTGGTCTTATAGTAAGTGTGTCAGGAACTTGAATATATGAATGAGAGACTGAAAATAATTCTAGGACGCGAGCCGATGTCATGCATCGCTCGCCTATGTCCGTTTCGGCTTGAGCTCGTACCTATCATCTCCCCCTCGTACCTATCTCGGATCCTTCGGCTTCCCTCGACTCGGATCTTTCGGCCTCGGACTCCAACAACAAGTCCGTACTAAGTACTTACCAATCCATGGACCGGTAACATAGTATTTAGTAGTATATATACTGTAGGTTATGTAGTCAGTCGAAATAATATCTACTATCATAGGGCGCCTTGAACTCATGGATTCGCCTTAGAGGGTCTCGAAGGTCTCTACTACGAGAACGTGTGCCCCGCGGGGTATAAGTGGCTTGTCAGTCTCGTCGGCAATTATGTAATTGCTGGCACGGTGTACCTTTTCCCAGGAGATGCGCCAACGTTGCAGCAATGTCACAAAACTCCACTCAGATAACTTCATTCAGAAGGCCTTTGTGGCCGAGACAGAATCTGACGCGTAGTGTGTGAGTCGGTTATCAGGTTTTACAATGTGCCTACAGCACCTCGTCTTTGATGGGTTGGGGGCCCATTTGTTCTGGTATGTCATACAGGATCACATGAAGAATCCCCACTCATCGACATCCTTCTTCAAGATGTACTTGTATCAAACCGGCTCGGCTCGGCTTGCCATGTTTTAAATTTGGCTGGAGGAATTATCGAGCACATTGGAGGTATGTGTTTTCCCAAAAATCACCGTTTCCCTCGCTAAGTCATCGTTATTCAAGAACTTGGCAGATTTCTTGATGTCGCTGACGCTCCTGCCAGGTGTCAAGCTACTGGCAGGATTGTCCCACCTCTGCAGTGTCTGCACTGACAGAAGGTGTCACGGTTCGTTTTCACCACTCATAGACATCATTTACGCCTTAAGACCTACGCGAACGGGACACAGGAACAAAACCAATCAGCTATCAATGTCTTTCATGTGTTGCGGCATGACGTCTCTATGGGTTCAACTTGTCAGACGCCCATCTCTTCTCTGGAAGATCGCTTAGTATTTCGTACAGGATGATGGGTCGCATAATATTGTTGGCAGCTGTAGCACTTGGTATGTGATTCTGGTATTTATAACTTTGAGATCTCAAGTCACCATATCACGCCAGGTGACATTCCTGCTGAATCTTATCCAGCACCTTTGCCCATCCCCCTCCATTCCAAGAGCTAATTCTCGCCCACTCATCCTCCTTCAAGACGCGCTTGTACCAGAACAGTCGACTGGCCACGATGATGTCCGCATACGAGAACGTGTCTCCCATAACCCACTCCCCGCCGCTCTTCTCGCGTAACGCTTCTCCCTTATTGAGATTCTGCTCAAGATATGCCCAATCTCCATCGCGTTTCGGGCCTTCGGGTGAAAATTCCTCCCACGGAAGTTTAAACTTCTCCGAGCGCGTTCGACGGAAAAACTCCACGCTTGCGGGGTTCAGAATCTCTGCAACACGCACTTGTATTAGCTTTATGGTGGGGTGCACGTCGTTAATATATGCAGAGTCGAATACGTGAATGAGCATCTGAGAGCCGTGCGGGAAGGTAGGCTTTGCGGGATATGATATACTGCGATCTCGAGGGATTCATCGATCAGAGGGCCAGTGTTGGGGTCACTGAGGACAGGAACGGTGTATATATCTGGGCCGTCGGGTCTCTTTTTGGGCGCCAAGCCGAGACCCTTGAGAACAGTCGCAATAGTCGAGGTCGAGATCCCTCAGACTGGAGAGACCCATTGCCTACCTCGCATCACATTCTCTTTCAACCCCCCGCGGTGCAGCTGGACAGTCAACCGCAAACAGTTTCCTCTCAGACCGGCATACGCGACCACGTTCAACGGTTGTCAAGGACGCACATTGCAGAAAGCCGTGCTTGACCTTCACACAGATTCTTTCACGCACGGACAACTATACACGGCACTTTCGAGAGTGCGATGTCATCGTGACATTCGAGCGCTGTTTCCAGTAGAGAATACAGAAGACGACGGCTAAAGGCAATCAGAACGCTTGTACAAAGGTATCTCGTGGTGGACAAACTCGTAGATGTCCTGCAAGGTTTTGGCCTGCAAGGCTGTCAGATCATCCCCAGTGATCGCTAGCGCCAGGTCCTCCGCAGAGGCTCTGTGAGCCACTTTGTTCACCTCTCCACGGACAGTACCACCAGTGCTGTCAAATATCATCTTCAAAGCCTCATCGGGCAGCAAGCGCGCGTCGTCTTGGTTCAGCTTCAAACGGACCTCCTTTACCAATTGCCCCAGGCTCTTCGTCGGCTGGCCGTCGGCTTCCCGGTAGCCTGGCCGAAGTGAAGTGGGGGGGAAACCATAGCGGGTCGATAGGAGACTACGAGCATCATCCAGCACCACCCGTCGGTGGAGGACACGCACTACTGCAGAATACTAGAATAAAAATCAGTAGGAGTTAGTACAGGGTCCTGAAATTGAGTAGTTACATGTTCCAGGGAAACTTCAAGGCCCTGTATCTTGTCATCCAGGTGTGTTATCGTTTCATCCTGGTGTTTTATCGTCTCATCCTGATATTTTATCTTGTCATCCAGGTGTTTTATCGTCTCATCCTGATATTTTATCTTGTTAGCTTGCTCATCGAGTTGTTCCAGGTAACATACCTGTTGTGTGCGGGAATCGTTGAGCTGATTCATCAATTTCTCTTCCAACGCCTTCATCATAATCTCTACACTGCGTGCTGAGCCCACCAAACGACCAGAATGCAATTGAGTACTGGAATGATGGTGCCAAGATGTTTAAACTACATACTTTTCTTTTTTCCCTTGCGGGAAGACTTTAATGCTTGTTCCAAGGCTTCTTGTGACTTTGATGCTCGTTCCAAGGCTTCTTCTTGCATGAAGCGTTCCGCCCTCACCTCTGCCCTACAATCATCCAGATCTTCTTGGCGCTTCCTCAAATCTGCCTGATGCGCCTTCTTCGTCATAACGATGTCGTGGTACGAATGTGTGGCTGGCATTTGGAATGCTGCTGTGAACTTGCTTCTACCTGGTGGTGTAGTTGATAGCAGTTTGCCTACGATGATATTTGGAGATTCAACGCCTGTGTGAGACAAGCAGGAAAGTTGATAGGTGTACGGTTGAATAGTATGTTGCTTACCAATTAGAATATTAGGGGTTGTTACCTCGATAGGAGACGGCGGTTGAACGTTGAACCACGTTGTTGTATGTTATCGTAAGCTCTTGCGCCAGCGTGCGAATCACGTCTTCAGTGTTCGCGTCTGGGTTGGCAACCGGGTTGGACCTCGTCGTTGTACTTTGCGCTAAGTTGTTGCACAAGCGTGCGAACTACCTCTTCTGTCTGGGCGTCTCTATTGACAATTCGTGTGCATGAAAGACTGGGGTCTACAAGGACCCCAGTTATTTGGACTGCGGATGATGGCATTGCGGAACGGAGGGAGATACGAGTACGAACTCCAACTAGTACTTATTATATACTCAAAGGTCATCATCGTCAGCTGCACAGTAAGGGTTATTAGAACTGCAACATCGTCATCGTCTTCGTTATATTTCCTTTTATGTCTTTGGCATCCCGGACTTTATATTGTACCTTATATTCTCGCGCGTCTCGCTTTGTTTACCTCAGCGGTTCTTCTTCAACACGCTGAGACTCTTTCCTTAGTCGCCCTTTAACAAGGGTCACGTGCGCTGCTGCAGCCTCATGAACTGGACGAAGTCCGGTTCTCCATGGCTTGGTCCATGGTTCTCACACCAGACTGGAAAACGGTCCTCCCGAATGGTTGCATTTTCACCCTTGGCAGTGTGGCAGCCCAGGATGATCGGATGCTGGCTGTGCTTCATTGTTATTGTCAACTTATAAGATCCACCTCTGATTGTACATGCCTATAATATTTGGTGTCTGTGCTACGCCATATTATGCCAGTACTACATATTACAAATGAGATGTAGGTGCGCCTGATTCCCGAGGTGATATCAAAAAACGCTCGAGGACAGCTTGATTTAGCTGTATGTTTTATATGGTGTACCTTACATATCCATCAGTCAGGGTAGCATTGCGAATGAATCATGGAACTCACCTGAAAAGCGGACTGGAATCGCCTATGTCCTTGAATTCGTATTTTCTATCTTCGCCAATGTTTTCCGCCAGACACTGCGCTTCTTTCTTTCTGTTTAGCCGGTTGTAGTTCCACATAGCGAAGGTACTCATTATGATTCTATTAGAAGATCATGTTATCATGTTGTCATGTTGCAATTCGGAAGACTGATGAGACATACGAAAGAGAAAGAAATCCCATGTTGGTGCCATGTCCGATGTGGAAACGTGGCGGATCGATATAGATGAAGGACGAGCAGACACTAAGACAACCATGAGCAGGCAAATAACTCATACTTATGATGATACGACGTACCCTCCAAGGTTACTAATACCAATGACCATTGCTAGTACGACTCCACGCTTTAAGTCGCCTCCCGCATTTGAGCCTGCCCAAGCAAGAATGACGGCGACGGTCGAATAATTTCCCGCAGCAGCTAGACAAACTCCAACGTATGACGGACCCGCTCGTACGGAGCAATATAGTAAGATGTATCCCACAAGAGACACGAGCGCACCGCCAATGATGTACGGACCACGAAGATGATGCTTGTCAGAATGGATACCAACTATGACTGTTGCAATAGCGCCGGCAACGAATGGTGGGACTGAGAGTAGCTGGGCATTCGCAGCGGAGTAGCCAAGCTCGTTGATGATGGTTGGCGAAAAGAGGGCGATGGCATAACCGGGGACAAGTACCCTAATGATCAACTCAGATAATGCATGCAATATGACAGGAGAACTGAGTACCCTAAATAAATGAGAATTTGGACGTAGGTCTTGTAATCTTTCATGGCTTGCCAGACGAACTGAGTGTCGAAACGAGAAGAAAGAGAATTCGAATCATGTTTGAGCACATCTATGATGTGCAATCTCTCTGGTTCGGTCAAAAAATTGGCCGTTTCAGGATACTAAGTAGTCTAAATCAGCATTCGAAAGACCCAGCATAACCACGAACTCACGTCATGCATGTAGAAAAAAGAGAAAACTGCGACGAGAACAGTGACTGATTGAGTTTAAGATGAGCATCCGAATCGTCTCAGATCTGGCACGACTGACCAATGCCTTCCAAGCAAAACTAGGAGAGATAATTAGTAAAGTCTCAGATTGAAAACATGCAAACATGCCATCCACTGCCAACCATACAATCCTCCGACTCTGATTGGCGCATCAGTGGTGGCTGACAAGGCAAGTAACTCGCTTACCCATTCATCCGTTCAATACCATACCTATATGCACATGAAGGTCAACAGCAGATTGATAGGAAAACCAAGCAACTTACGCAAGGAGTCCACCGAAGGCAACTATAATGAATAAGAAGATTTTGAGATAAAATCCGGCACGTATCAAGACACATACCTGCGACTGACGCTGCAGAGAAGAATATAGCAATACGTTTGGACCGCTCCGAACGTGGATACCAAAGGCAGATGTAGTAATTTATTCCTGGATATAATCCTGCTTCGGTCAAACCGAGGAACGCTCGGGCTCTGTCATTGTTATGGTGTCCGTCTCCACTATGCGAATACACCTCACGCACATAACGAGAGATTGATATGAATTGACGAGACACATAAGGGTCATCACAATGCCCCATGCGACCATGATAGACGGTACTAAATCAATATTAGGTGATGAGAAAGAACAAGGTAGAGGCGAACGTACTCCATCGCGATGGCCTTAATAGCTTGAGGATGATGTTTCTACACAGACACTGAGCACAGACTCGCTATTCTTGATGTTGTACATACGAGGGGACTTCAGCAAAGCTATATGGGATCTAAAATAACTCAGCACTTGATAGAACATGCATAACACACGACGCACAAAAAAGACGGCTGCAGCAATGTTGTACTTGAAGCCAGTCAATTTTAGGTCAGTCGTCATTCCAGCAACCGTCGCATTTCCTGGTGATCGACTTAGCCAGCAATCGACAGTAAATGTTCCAAAACATACCAATATTGGCCCGGTCTCTGAAGGTAACATAGAATGTGAAGCAGCATCAGACATTACATACATCCAGAAAACTCACATGAACGACAACAAGAAAAACACCGTGACGAAAGGTAACAGGTGCCAATCCATCTTGCGCAGAATGCGTGCTTGCTCTCTCGGATTCACTGGCAGGACACTGAGATTGTCGGACTTCAGCTCGATGTCATCGTCGCGCAACGAGCCCATGATATCAGGCTTGGCGACAGTATAGTTTGAACGGAGAGACTGGTTGGATGCCATGCACCTTGTCGTCAAGAGATGGTGGGTTTTATATCATAAAATTGACGTCTTGAGCGCCAGTGGCCCGGTCACCAGCAACCTTTGAATCAACACCCAGCTGATCAAGATACCTTGGCTATAGTATACGGCATACCTATTTAAAAGTCTTAAACGCACCATCCAACTTGAACATTTCGCCCCTGAAAGTGGATTTGAAATGGAAACTAACCTAGTGAGGCCTAGTTCAACATAATGTTCGAATGGTACCCATCACATGACATGACAGTACCACGCTTCGAGTGTGTTTTCGGAAGCAAATGGTTGCAGTCTGCCTTGTGCCAGTGCATCAGTGAAATGAAGACAAGTTGACAGCGGCGTAGCAACTGCGCAGTTTCGATAATAGTACCAAATTCTCACGGGTACTTTCCGGCCTACTTCAGCAGTGACTCCCAGCTCTAGATCTATTCACAGTGATTTTCCGGCTCAATCTTGGTCACGGTGCTGACATGCATCATATCGCGACGCCAGATTTCAGTGCGTCAGGAACGATATCACAACTATACGTTACTCGCCGCTTTCTGCACTGACCCTCAGGCCAAATCAGGCTCCAAGTGCCTTGATCAAGACAATATTGGTATGTAGTACAAAGGATCCGATTGAAATCGGATTCGATTCGACAAAAATATACAAAAAGTACAAAGACAGGCATGATATATAACGCATGATGACTTTCCTCGAACTCATTAAGCGCGTTTATGATACATATATAGGTACAATTTCATCTGGAAGTAGCCAGCCTGTAAAACTATAAACCATCCCATTCTGTGCAATTCTAAGTTATGACATACCTTGCGCTGCTCGCTCTTAGCCTCGAGTGAGGGCTCAAGGGTCATTCGAAAGTTTACTAGCTAACTTCTCTGCTCCGCCTATGCACGAATATGAATATAATTGCGCAGTCGGATGAATAAAGACCAACCTCTTAATTTGGAGCCCATGGAAGACAACTTGCCCTTTGGAGCGCGACCGGTACCAGCGCCAGCGCCTTGGCCACTACCAAGCCCAGAGTCATCAAGCTCATCGGTGTTACGCTCATACCCACTGCTACCACCGCCGGTGTTTTGGCCATGGGCACTGTCGTATCCACCACCAGTTTGCCCAACTCCAGGGGCATTCACTTCCTGAATGTCCTCGACGTGACGATGACTATCCGTTCCAGAGTCTGTGGTGGAGCATTCGTCGCTTTGGTCTAAGCCCTGCTGACCTTGTCGACCGACGCGACTTTCATTTCCTGTGTATCCACCGGCTTGGCCAGTCCCGCTACCCTCGTATGAGTCTGAAAATGGGGATTCGGTTCCCCCAGGAACAGTGCGTTGATCGCCGGTTGAGGCGTCATTATTTGAGTCGTCGTTGAAGTCCCCTGGTAAGATAATCAAGATATTAAGTCTGACTGGGATTTGCAAACGGATTCAAACGACGTACGACGTGAACCTTGGTCTCCTTGATCGTAAGACATTATTGATTGTGTTGTAGTTAAGAAGATACTAAGAGAAAGTACGTTGATGGGGCCTTTTATATATACGATAAATCGATGATGTAGCGATGACGAAAGCTGGCACTGTTGACATGTAGCTGGTTCATTGAGGAGCGGGCGTGGAATCTGGCTGCTCCAGCTAAGACTCGATGGAGCCTTCTGGCAGCGTCCGCAACGTTTAGCATTGCATGACGACAAGGATGGATGGTACTGTTTTATAAAACCTTAATTAGCGTCATGTACAGAAGAAATAAATGACATCAGGCTCCGCTTTGTTCTATTTTCATCTTTCCTGTTCACAACTGCGGATATAAACTCGGCCCCAATGTATTTGATACAAGCACCGTGAGCCAAGCTTACTGGCCCTCGTGTGCGGATGGGGAAAAATGTCGATTAAAAGTGAGCTGTTAACGATATCACTACGATAATGACTCACTAAATTCGGCACTCTTGCGACGCATGCACAATTCGCTTAGGGACCGGAAACTGGTTCGAATCCTCGAAAGCTAATAATTAGTAGTACATTTACGTAGTGGAATGCGTGTATATTCAGTGCCAGAATAGAGCACCGCAAAGACTGTAAATAAGGATAGAGTAATGAAACATGACGAGTTCGACATCTAGCGGAACGAAAAAAAGAGCCCCAAGCCGAATAGAATGATAGAAAACACCAAAATGGTGGCATCCATAGGGAATACATATGTCAGAATCTGAGCCATGGCTGGCATGTTAGGTAGCGCAAAAATGAGTGTGATGGGGAATGTGTGACGATGTCCAGTAGCTCACAAACTTAACGATAAACCGGAAACTTACCTCAAACCCTGGAGCCGATTTGATGAAACTAGGCTCCTTCGTTCAAATGTGCATAGCCGTCTCCAGAAGCTTCTATTCTCTTCGCTGCGGAGCTCAGCAAGGGGAGCAAGATTATAGGGAGGCGGGCTCTGCATTACCCGTCTCCAGAAGTTTCTATGTTCTTCGCTGTGGAGCTCAGTATGGGGAGTGAGATCATAGGGAGGTGGGCCCTGAATGTCGATAAGAGATTCATTCCCTTGCTTGCTTCCACATTCTTGTAGTTTACTTGTGCACGTCTGAGTGTTCACGGAAGGCTGGCATTGAGATGACAATATGCGAGAGCAGGGACAAAACTTACATCATCATCTTTATCATCTTCCTCCAAATCGTCTTCTTCTTCCAGTCGGACCTTCCATGCTGTTGTCGGTTGGCTGGGTAAAATAGTTACAGGCGGATTTGAGCGAGCACGACGAGCAAAGAAACTACGGTTGGGGCGTTCTCCCGAAACAGATTCGTTTGCAGGCGGACAGTGTCGTGAAATGACGTTCCACAAACGGCGAATGAAAGATGGGTGGGAGAGACGGGTGACAGATGATTCCGGTGGAAGAGATTTCTGGGAATAATACTACAAGGAATATTTATCGTGAGTACTAGTGCCTTGCATGATAAACACGAAAGTTACCCATGGAAATGAGTCACATGAATCGTTGTGTCCCTCGTCAGTGACATGATCACCCCATGGTGACTTTGTAATTGCTATAAGCTGGGAAGCTATGTCGTTGACAAGCCACATAGCGAGCGTCCTGTCATGCCCGCCACATGCTAGGTATTTCCCGTTTGGAGAAAACGATGCACAGCAAAGGATTTGGCGATTCTGGACAGATGGCTGTCCAAGTAGCTGGTGGGACTCTGTGTCCCATAGTTGTACAACACCTTGATCGCCCACGCACACCAGAACGTTGTATGTGGGTGAAAGCGCAATGGAATACAAGATATCGTCATGCTGGAAACAATGAAGTAGCGCGCCTGAGGTGCTGTCGAAGACACGTGCTAATTTGTCAGATGCGGAGTAGAGCTTTGTACCGTCCGACGACCACACCACCGACGTCACTTCGTAACCTAGGTCTTGGATGAGCCCGAGAGCAAGTTCGCCGGTCTTGCTGTCCCATATGCAAATCGTTGTGTTCCACCCGCCTGAAGCTATTCTGTTTCCAGAAGGTGAATATGCAAGAGCACAGACCCGGTATTGTTTCGTCTTGATTGGGCCAACTTCTGATATTCCGCTTTTCACTCTTCGAATGAGGATTGTTCCATCATCGGACCCGCTGGCAATATGACCTCCGCAAGGAGACCATGAAAGCGACCGTACCCAGTCGCTATGACCCGTCCAAGCACCTTCAAGCATCATCTTTCCATCCGTGTTCCATCGCTGAACGGTCCCATCTGCTCTCCCACACGCAATTGTCTTGCCGTCCGGTGACAGCACCAGTGTATATATGCTTCCACCTTCTCCACTCCACGGTTTCCCAACAAGAAGTCCTGTGTCGTAGTTCCACTTGCGCATCGTGCCGTCCTCTGAACCAGTCACGATGTGGATGTTGTCGTGCAAGAATACGAAGTCGCGAATAGCTCTCGCATGGCCCTCAAAGTTCTGCTTCGGAGGCGTAGGGGCCGGAGGAAGCTGACGGATCTGCCTTGGAATGGACCTGGCAGCCATAACTTGGCTACTAGTATCATATGGGTGCCTAATCTTGAGATTTGTGATCAATTATTGGGGTGAACAGCTAACCAGTAGTTACCACTCACCAGGTTGTCTATTGTCTCTCGCCTGGCAGCCTCTGGCAAGCTGCGCGTGTTGTTATAAATGTTGTAGGTTCAAGTTGGTCATCTGACTCGAGATGATCGGATGCTGGCTGTGCTTCTGAAACACGAGGGTGACTCGGATCCATAGTTATTTTCGTATCGTACCAATTAGGATCCAATAGCAGGCACGTAGTGTCGTGGGCAGAAAGGAATTGGCCTCTCGGCAGATGGCAGAATGGCAGAACGGCAATTGGCAGAATGGCAAAAGTCGGCAAAATGTATTGTGAGCGTTTTTAGCTCTTTTCAACTATGTTTGTACTATGGCAAAAATGGTTTTGACTACTACACTAAGGCTATACCTGATGAGTCAAAAGTGCATCAATGTCATACCCTGATGCACTCTCTGAGCTTCGATTGAGTACATTGATCTCTTCAACAAAGCCAGTTGGCACCGTGGATTCTGCCTGGGCCATCATTTTCTCACAGTTGGTCAGCCTCCAGCTGTGTCTCACGTGTTTGATCGACTTTCAACTTCTCAGATCAATAATTGATTCTGGACCACAGTGTGAGATAATCCTGGTGATCAGAGTCTGCTGCAAGGGGAGGAATCCATGCAAACGACCTTTGAGTCGACTTGGAAATAAGTCGCAGAAGCGATAGATGGGGATAGATTTGATAGATTTCGGCCTTGATTGCCTTTTTTGTAGTGAGGTAGCCACACTGCACGAGCATGCCAGATTATGATATATTTTTCAGTCAATTAGATGTTTGTGCCGAGCAGCAGTTGCATGTGAAAAAGTAGTTATTTGAGTTGTTTTTGACCAAATTTTGACTTTCTCCCCAGTAACTACTAACAAAGTGGTCGGACACAAGTTTTTGGACAGAATGGCCCTTGGGCTTCTAGGCCACATGTCAAATTTTTATTGTTTTTAGTAGGAACAAATACTAGGTCATCGTATTTCTGCCGACTTCTGCCAACCACCCTTGACCTACTGCCGGCAATTGCCGCTTGGCAATTGCCACTGGCAGAATGGCAGCATTCTGCCAACAACACTACAGGCACGGCATGTCCCATTTAAATTTACTATGTTTTGCTTTAGAGCCCAACGTCCGAGTTACTTGCTGTTTCATGTCTATTTATTTGTGTACTCGCTACTCAGGCCTCAGGGCTCAGGGCCAGCCATTCGCAAATTCATCAGATATCCTGAGGGTGAACGATCGTGCCAAACCCACCAACAAGACGAGGCAGTTCAGCATATCTGTGGCAACCACTGACGGAGACATATAGGTACACGAGGCGAGTACATCCCCTGTATGCGTTATCTCACATCCTCAGTAACATTTTCGCAGGAGCTACGAATGAATCGGGAACGAATGTAAATGTCGGTATGTGTTGCAATAACTCGTCCGACGGATGGGCTTTGTTCTCTCAACTAAATATATATTGTAACCCTCTTTAAGTTAGATCATTACCAATGCATCGACAAGACGACACGCTTCGAATCAGGGAAGTGGCAGGCCCTGCGTTCGTTCAAGCTTAAGCGCCATCACTGCAAGACTTCTTTTCACATTGTCGGCCGAACCGAATTCAGAACTTCAAGTGCTTGTGCATTTCATGTCAATTACTGATGGCCTGATGTTCGCAGGAAACATGCCCGTGTGGTAACGTGAAGAGTTCCCTGGTCATGTCACGTTGCCAACACCCTGTTCCGTGTAACCTATAGTCGACGTTCAGCTGTGACTTATATAGCACATTTGGAACTCATCAGCCACTCATCTGCCACGGGTGCCATTGTTCGAGTTCTGTGACTGATGGATGTCAAGCAAGACCCGTTCTACTCGAAGCGCTGCACAGTCTTTGCATCACACGGGATCTCATATCCGCTGAGCGCTTGGACAAGCCAGTTGAGTTATTGGTACGCCCTACCCGATATCGATAGTTGCACCGCAGGACGAAAAAAGCAGTAACGAGTTGAATACCCCCGTTTCTGATGAAGCCAAAATAGTCGAATTTGTGGGTTGTATTTGCAATAAACTACACGGTCGCTTTTGTACCCAACCAGATTTGTAACGCTTATTCTTAATCTCGACCATCGTCTACTCAAATAACCAATTTCATAATTTGAGTTCAAACTCTACTAAGGTGTGCATTTACAGGTCATGATCATCAGAGGCGATCGTAACGTCGCGTGAAGTTTGGAGGACGATGTAAGAATGAATTGAGGATAACCCCGAAGACTGCGCGAGATGAGATGGTCCTACCTCTGGTTGCGACTGATTGGTTATTGGGTTCAATTCTAACTCTTTTTGCGGAGTAGATTGAACGTTATCAAACTACATCAGGTTTCTCATTTGACAAATGGATGGAATAGTTTACTGGATGTTGCAGGGATTTAAACGTAAGATTGTTGCAAGCAGAAGCGAGGACTGAACGGTGAGGTTGGTTGTGAGGCACCGAGATAGGGCCAATGTCCTGTTCATTTGGCGATGACACCAAAGTCATCGCAAAATGGACAGGACTAAGCTTGATCCAATGGTTGATGTGAGATTCACGTGCGATGTAAAGTTTGAGGGGTAAGACCGATTGTGTGTGAAGACTGCCCCGGGTTGGAATGGCGTTGCGATACCAAGATAACATCCTCGGCATGGTTTCCTTTCGGCGGACACAGTGAACTGTGGACAGCCCTGACAACTTGTCAGCTGGTTGAATTTCGTAACAACTTGCAACGTGTTTCGAACTGAAAGGATAGCATGCGGTCAGCTCGGCAAATATAATACTGCTTGTTTATATGGGACGTCGCAGGGCTGTGTATTAGACATGTAGTCCATATACAACGCACATAAAAGAAGTAAATTATCGAGCGATAGTGTCTCGGCAAATGAACTTATGACTGGTTGGACCGACGACAGATGAAGGAAAACCCACAGCACAGCATACTTCAATTTCTTGTGGTTCGCTTGTCGAGGCTTGTGTTTGTGTGTGCCGTCCTTGAGACGGATGTGCCCCCATTGCAAGTTGACTTAGTTGCGTTGAACTGTTGGCCACACTGTCATTCGTGCGTAGCATGGCTGCAGCCGCTTCTGCGTCAGATTCAGGAACAATGCCGTATCGCTGCAGAGTGATTTCAATAACATGAAAGGGGAGTGATGACAAGTTACTCACATCTTCATCGCGGCAAGCAGCAACATCGACGGGATGTCTGGGAGATCCTACTGTAAATAAACTAGAATTCCAGTGCCAAGTATTGCATGGTGTGCTGCGTTGAGGTGTATTTGCTAGTCGAATAACGGGATACAGGGAACCAAACGTGTAATTTTTTCCTCGAGACCGCAGTAGTCGTTCCCAGAGTGTCCTATGATCTTTGCTATCGAAGTGGGCGGTAGGAGTGCGCTCATAAGATAGCGGGCTTTGTGCGCCGAGATGGATCATCTCGCTGTTTGCCTTTATCCTTTCTAGCGCTGAGCGAATTACACGTGGAACCGCGCTGATGGTTGTCGTGTTGAGATAACAGTGCGACAGTTGAAACAGCACTTACATCATCAATATTTTGACCTTGTTCGCCTTCGCATTCTCCCACTTCACCTTCTGGCACTGGTTTGGGTTTCGTGGTTGCGAGCTCCAGGGACGAGTTTGAGCGAACGTGACGACTGAAGAAACCACGTTTGGAGCGTTCTTGTGGAACGGGCTCGTCTGGCGGTGGACGATGTCGAGAGAAAATATTCAACAAGCGGCGAGCCGAAAACAAGGGTGGGAGATAGAAGCCTGGTGATGGAGATGGAAGAGATTCTGCGAAAACTACAAGTACTTATTGTCAGTACCAGTGCTCTTGCATGAAAAAGAATATTTTACCTGGAAGTTGTTGTTGTATGGATCATCATCCGCCTCCTCGGTGAAGCCACCACCACCTGTAGCATCAACCTGTGACAGCACTGTGAGAAAAGCAAGACAAGAAGTCTGACGTGAAAGTACTGACATCCAGACAAAATGATAACGTGGAGTTAGACCGTATTTCCTCCTTGGTCACAGTGCTTTGTCCATCACTTTGTTGGGGAGGCGTGGGCGCTGGGAGCTGAGGAGCTATGTCTTTGAGCATCCAGAGAGTGACTTTCCCGTCATCTCCAGTATATGCTAGATGGCTGCCGTCTCGGGAGAACGATGTGACATAGCAAAGGGTGTCGCGATTCTGGTGAAATGGCTTGCCGAGTGGCTGGTGTCCCATAGCTGTGCAACGTCATTGATGCCCACACACGTCAGGACATTGGCTTCAGGAGAAAGTGCAACCGAATTTAAGTAACTGTTATGCTCAAAGGAATTGCTGTCCCAAGACACGTGCGAATTCGTCGGATGCGGAATGGATTTTAGTGTTATCTGACGACCACACCAACGACGGCACATAAAACTTCCCCAGGGCTTTCATGGGGCCAACGACAAGCTCGCCAGTCCTGGTATCCCAGATGCAAATTGTATTGTCCCCGCCTGATGCAATTCTCTCGCTCAAAGGCGAATATGCAAGAGCGCAGACGCCGCCTTGCTCCGTTTTAATTGGGCCTACTTCGACTTGTCCACTTCTGCATTTCGAATCAGAATTGTCCCATCGTCGGACGCGCTGGCAATATGACTTTCGCTGGGTGACCACGAGAGCGACCACACCACTTCGGTATGACCTGTCCAAACGCCTTCGATCATCTCACCATTAGTAGTCCACCGCTGAACGCTTCCGTCCTCCCTCCCACACGCAATTATCTTCCCGTCCGGTGAAAGTGCCAGCGCATATATCCTTCCCCCCTCACCTTTCCATGGTTCAACAACAACAAGTACTGTGTCGCAGTTCCACTTGCGTATAGTGCCGTCCACTGAACCACTCACGATGTGAATGTTGTCGTGCAAGAAAACAAAACCCCAACTCTACCGCAGGTGGTGATCAATTATGGGGCGGAAAATTCAACCAGCACTCACTGGGTGGTATACTGGTCTGTTAGTGCTTGGTAGCAAGAGTTTATGTACTGTAGGTGGAAGGCATTGATCCCACGAGGCAACGCTAATCGTCCACTCAGGTTCGTGTCGCAATACAGCATTTCGGCCGGTTTAATCTTTGCACGTCACGGTTCCTATTATCTCATTCATCTATTTCCAATCATCATAGCATGGTAAATCGTGCTTCGATGCATATACTCAAGACAACATAGTGGTCATTCAGTCAGACAACTTCTCGTGTCTATAGTTTACTTCACGACTCATGGTGTCATGGTGTCATTTATTGTACTCCGCACTCTAACTATCTCTAGCTTGTCTAGTCTCGCCCAGAAGACAAAATAAACATCTTTCGATACTCGTCGACGTCAGATGAGCAATCATAACATAACATAGGTGCACAAGGGACGCCAGGTGAGTACATTGTGCTTTTGGTGTTTGTGACGTATATTCATCTGGTGCACGACGGTATCTTCTGAATCAGTGTTGCGAGAGAAGACGACCTTCCTTATTGTATTGTCCCCAGCTTCGCGTTCGCCTTGGGCCAATCCCTCAAGTCGTGTCACCGCAGAACATTGGCCACGTGTCTCTTAGCTTGGAGACCCTTATATTGATCTTTTTCACAATGACTCTCTCGTGTCATTTCTTCAATCGGGACAGAATCATAAATGAATACAAATGTCAATGTCCATGGCAATAAGTCTCGCAGGGGTGCCTTTTCTTCCTCTGCTCACCTAATTCGACTAGATATCTTGTCTCGTCTTTTCTTGTCTGTCTGTATGTGTATCATGCTGACTTGTTTCTTTTATACAGTTACATCTTAACAAGTACGTCGACTATGTCGCCTGGCAAATGATGACACTTATTTAAGCGTCAATGGTCCTTTTTCACTGTGTGCCAGCTCCATTTTTATGACCCCCGCTGCGACACTGGACGGGGTTCTGGAACTTCGAGCATATGAACAGTTTATTTTATTATTAATCACTGATAGTCAGATTTGGGCAAGCATAACGTTCGTAGTCATTTCACGCTGAAAATGACTTGCTTCATCTAACCTACATCGATGTTTAGACCGACCTACTAGCTCGAGTCGATCCTCAGCTCATAAAGAACATTCATGGGCGCGACTGCCGAGTACTTACCATCGTCAATATTGTGAATGCCCGTATCATGATGGATCTGACGAATCAATTTCAGAGAACATTGGCCACAGAAATATTGATTGCTGTCCACGCAATAATAGCAGCCCCGGAGAGGGAGAGAGCTGACAATAGCAGGTACGAGGATGTGCCAGTGAGTATGGCAGCTCTAGGGAACGATATCGTGTACACTATGAGTAAGCACCACTCAACGAATCTGCAAGGGACAACATCAATAAAGGAGATCACAACATGTTCGTTCATTTGAGTGCTTGCGCTTTAAGATCTGATGCAACGTGCCAGCCTCAGCCAGCGTCTAGTCCTGAGGAGTAGTTTGTGGGAGCCTCTACCGTTTGTACGGCCTAGCCATATTACAGGATCTACGTCCCGAGCGGGATTAGAGTAGACGAGTGCCATTTGCTTTTTCAGTGTTTGTCGAGGATGTGCATGTCCTCCAGGTTTTCCAAGTCACCCCACACGCTGCAAAAGAAGTCCATGACCTCACCGCTATCGTATTCTTCATGACTTCTCATCGATTCTTTCCCTCCCTGTCCTCTGTTTTACTTTGTCCCATACATGAAGACTTCATGTTTCCTCATTCCTCACGCTCAGCACATCCCAACATCGATTTACCGTTAGTCCACACTACCTCAACACCCCATTCTCAATTTGCATAACCGCAGATATGTGCAGTATGCCATAGTAACTATCGTGAGCAGATAGTGCTCGAGACGTTCTTGGCGTCACTCAGGTGAGCAGCTCGTCATATGATAACCTCCTCATTATGTCAACCCGCCGTATCACCCTAACTTGGATAATTTGTCTGGACACAGATCAGGCCTCTGCCGTCCAGTCTGTATTTGTGCGGACAAAAGATCGGGCCTCGCACTGAAATTTGTCAGGATTGGATCAGGCATATACTTCGAAAAATTGTCTGAAGTGGTCTCAGGCCTCTCCACTTTCTATTATATTCGGGGGTCCTGGCGTTGCTAGCGGTCACGAATCCTTACAGTATCGTGTCACGATGGCTCTTCGTATGCGTTTCACCGCAGAAAGACTGACGACAGATGTGAGTGCGTCGAAGAGACAGCTGCATGTTTTGGAGTTAAGAGCTGAGTGACTACTTCGTCACGAAAAATTCGAGGGCTCTGTATACCTTTTTCCCTTGCGCCTCAGGCTCTGTGCGCTCGACCCATCTGAGCTTACCGTAGAACGAGGCAATAACTTGTGCAGATCATACTGCTCTCAAACGCATGGTCGATGTGGCGCCCCAAGGAATTTCAAAAAGCACTCGTGCCATTTCAAGTGTCTTATCCGCGGACTCATGGAAGAAATGAAATGTCCGTCAGTAACACTCCGGCAAGGTGGAGAAACTTAACTTCGAGCCACCACGATCCATCCTTCCATTGTAGCTTGGCAAAACTAAACTGTACTTGACGACTGCAAGAGATGCTGGCAATGATATACTGATGGCGTGACACATTTGAATTTTAATTCATGTATAACTGACATGGCAGCTCCTCTCACGCTATAGAATGGTCAATTGTGAATGCACCATGAATATTGAATCGTGACGATGATTCGAAGCTTCAAGTTTCAATAGCAGACTCATTTGCATAATGTATCACCAGTAAATTACCATGCAACCCATCACGGCTATTGAATATTGAATGCTATATCGCGGCGATGTCGCGGCGACGCCACGCTTTCAACCTCGAAAATCTGTCCGGGGCCCCGGTCCTGATTTTACATGTTTGTGAAAGAGGCCAAAATGGAGCAGGCCTACCAAAATGTATAAAAAGCCCTCAGTGCAGTGTATCGACGGTCCACTCATCTCCAAACATGCAGCTTTCTGTGCTCTTTACTGCACTTGTATCTTTTGTCATCCTCGCGGCAGCGTCACCCGTTGCGCCAGGAGCCATCTCGAAACGTTCCTGTGAGTATTCACGATCATAAGCAATATCATATCCACTCAAATGCTACAATGAATCTTTCAGTTAAACGAGAGAACCTTGACATCAATTTTGAACGTCATCTCCCGAAGACTGGTCTTGATGATTCAGGTCTGCCATGTGACGAATCGAAAGGCTCGGACTGAGAACGAGAACGAAGACTTGAGATTGGGTCAAAGACTACAGGACATTCGACGGGGAGAAGTATTGATACGATGATTGAGATGGAGAATCAAAGGAGAACGTGTATAAGGCATGCAACGAAGAGTGATTGCGTATGTAAAAGAAAGAAATGAGTACGTACGAGAGTGTCGTCGATAGTCGTATCTTGACAAGCCAGACAAACGCGAGCAGCTGAAGACGATTGGGATCAGCCAGACAAGCGCGAGCAGCTGTGATGACTACGATCAGCCGAACAAGAAGCGCACGCTCTAGAGGGGTCTTGATGATTACAATTAGATAGATTAGGAAAACAGACTACACAGCACGAGTTCCTGTGTGCGACAAGTCCTGCAGTCCGGATCTAGTTGTTGGAAGTGTCCAAGTCTCTGTTATGTAATTCCGTCTCCAGTAGAGATAGTCCAGAATATTCGACTGAAGCTCACCTGAAACCACTGAACTGTAGATGGGGGGACTTCTCTTTTTGGACCCAAGTTGACGGGTGTAGAATCCCTGTCTCGAGCGTGCCATAACTGTCTCAAAAGTTTCCATTTTCAAGCTCTCGAGTTTGGCGGCGTGATCATCAGGCAGTGGGTTCTGCGGACCAGCTTGAAAAGGAACGTGGAGTTGAGGATGGGTTTGAAGGTTGAAGTTGAGAAAGACCGTATGCCGCAGCAGGAAGAGATGTTTGGGACGACTACAGTTTATCATTAGTACTGGACCCTTCGTAAATGTTGTATTGGTCATCGCATGTTTCCTCGATGGTCATTGATGCCGCCACCCCCCCTAGCACGAGCCCGTCATAAACTCGTAAGTATGCTGAAACAAGTGCATAGCCAAGTGTGAGTACTTACGTCGAGATCAAGATAATATTGGGGACTCGCCGGTTTGATTTTCACGTTGTGAATCGAGTCCAGTTTCCTCCTGTACCATTGATCGGGCCATGCTTCCTGCTGTGAATTGGTCCATAGTCGAGTTTCCAATTGTGTAGCTCGAGTTGACCTTGTCGAGGTACGGATAATGTAAGCAAGGTCAAAAACTATGTCTTTTACTGTTGAAAGAGTGAGCACCCTGTGGTCTCCACCCTATGCTGGATACCTTTCGCCTTGCTTTCAGCTAAGCCAGATATCACCACTCGCGTACATTATGAAAACGTCGCAAAGCTGGGTGTGATATGTGTAGTCCATATACAATGTACATGAAAGAAATAAGTCACCGAATGACAGTGTCTCATCAGATGAACTCATGGCTGATGCGAGTTGAAACGATGAACCTAAAGGCGAATCTACAGCAGCTCACTACAATTTATTCTGGCCCGCTTGTGCTTGTGTGGGCTGTCCTTGAGACACCTGTGCCACCATCATAGGCTGACTTGGTCGTGTTGAACTGTCGGCCACATCATCATTCGCACGTAACATGGCTGGACTCGGAGCCCCCTCCGTATCAGATTCAGAGCATCACTGAAGAGTGATTTCAATAACATGAAAGGGGAGTGATGACAATTTACTCACATCTTCATCGCGGCAAGCAGCAACATTGATGGGACGTCTGGAAGAACAAGCTTGAAGTCCAGTGCCAGAGATTGTGCAGTATTTGTTCGGGCGGGCCACTTACAGGTAGTAGTGCTGGAATGCAGGAATAGACGTGGGGTCTTTTCCTCGAGGCTACAGTAGCCGTTTCCAGAGTGTTCGATGGTCTTCGTTATCGAAGTGGGCGGCAAGATGGTATCATTTGTGGTGCTGATCAAATGATTCGCAGACGCACACTGACAGCCATCGTGTTGAAATGACACTGCGCGAGAGCCGAAATAGCACGAATTTACATCATCAACAGTTTCACCTTGTTCGCCTTCGCCATTCCCTTTTCCTACTTGGTCACATCTGGCACTGGCTGGTTGGGTTTATGTAAGGGTTGCAAGCTCCACGGACAAGCACGATGACCGAAGAAACCACGTTTGGAGTGTTCTTGTGAAGCAGACTCACCTGGCGGTGAGCGACGACATTCACACGCCAGGATATTGTCTTTGGGAGAAAGTGCGACCGAATACAGGAAATTGTTATGTTCCAAGGAATGAAGTAGTTCGCTGTCGAACAAGAATCGTTCCATCTTCGGACCCGCTGGCAATGTGACTTCCGCTGGGTGACCACGAGAGCGACCGCACCCATCGCTATACCCGTCCAAACACCTTCGATCATCTTCTCGTCGGTCACGTCCACCGCTGAACGCTTCCGTCCTTCCTCCCACGTGCAATTATCTTCCCATCCGGTGAAAGCGCCAGTGCATAGACATCTCCCCCCCTCTTACCTTTCCATGGTTCCCCGACAACAAGTCCAAAAACTTATCAATGATGATGCACTCGTGTAGTGTTGCACAATACAGTCCTCAGCAAGCGCCGGAAAGTTCCGCAATCTAGAACCCTCGAATCTCAAACTCCCTAGTTCAAGATAGGAAATGCATAACAACGCCGCACGCGTTGCCAACCTAATTGTCTATCCAGACTCCAGTATCATATTTGAGACTGCACGGAGACGCCAATTCCCTTTTCGGTTCGAAAACGATCGAATGGGGTACCTCGGCGGGTGGGTTTAGGGTCTCGACGTGCTAAAGCCCACGAGACTTGGAGCTTGAAGCCTGAAGCTTCCTACTCCTCCACTAGCCCTCCAACCGTAAACCACCCTGCTGGTGTGTCATGGTTACTGGATGCAGCCGGCCAGTCATTAGACACGGTCGCAATTGTGCGACGGAACCTGTACTTCCACTAGAGATACAGGCTCAGTATAATAACAGAACGGGAAGGTCGGCGCAGCTGGGGTAGCGTCAGCCCCCTGACGAGAACTTTCACAGGTTCGAAGCTGCTGCCATCTCCGCCCTGTGTTCCTCTTCAACTTGCCCTAGCTAACAAACCCTTATCCTAGGAGACAGGTGACTGCAGCAGGTGCTAAGAACGTGGTCTACCTCGCCACGCTCTGTTGGACACTCTGGCTTGGGCTTTGCTTATACAAGCCAGTCGCTAGGCGCTTGCATCGCTATGGTCTAGGTATGCTCATTTCAGTGACTGATCACGAGGTTGGGCGTTGGGCGTTGAACTTTGAACTCCCCTACTAAGTCAATCGAGATATTGTGATTAACCTAACCAAATAACTTACTTTCCCATATAATGTACAGTGTTCAAGCGACCGATTTCAATCCAACCACAACCTACAAGTCATCTCTCCTATCGAATGTACAATCATGGTTTTTTATGCATATGTAAAACATGTACGCTTAAAGTTCATTCTTCGATGTCTGCGATGTTGCGCTAAACCGCCATTGAGCTCACGAACAACCGGACCTCTCGATATGTGATTACCTTCGCTAGTCGCGCAGTTGCCGATGAGTGGTGGCGTGCCGTATCCACTTCTACCACTGGTTTCGCGAACGGCATTCAGCGTGTTGACGCCCAATTTTACACCCATGAGACACACCTAGCCCACGCCCCCGACTCCCTCATCACGGCTGGGGTTGCGACTCAATTCCTTGGAAAGGTGTTTTTCACCTCGCTGAACGACTTAAATATGAATCTTCGCGGGTTGAACATCATCCCGCCGCTTGATCATTTGTTGACCACATTAGCGGGAACTCGTGAGTTAGTTCCTTTCGGGATGTTCTACATTTGACTGATAGTAGCCCTACCAAAGTTTTTTCATTCGGTTGAGATGGTGAAGGAGCTTCTCTACACGGAGAATGGGGAGGAGTGGGAACTCGCTTGAACTACTATTATTTGACACAAAGTTGTCTTGTACAGGTACTGTTGTAGTCTCCCATAGAGAGCCGTTTACGGTTTATGGACAAAGGAAAGGGATATCGCCTCGCGACGTACTGCTGGACGTTCTGGCTCAGGCTTTGCTTATCCAAGCCAGTCGCTAGACGCTCGCATCTCTACGATCTAGTTATACTTTTGGTGACCTAGTCACGAGGTTGGGGAACCCCCCTAGTAGCTAAGTCAATCGAGATATTGTAATTAACCTAACTAAATGACTTAAGGCTCTCCCTATATAATACACAGTGACCAATTTTAATCCAACCACAACCAACAACTCATCTCTCCTATTATCATGGTTTTCTACGCATATGTAAAACATGTACGCCTAAAATTCATACTTCGATGTCTGCGATGTTGCGTTAAATCGCCATCAAGGTCTTGGATAACTGGAGCGCTCGAGAGCTGATTACCTTCGCTAGCCGCGAAGTTGCCGATGAATGGTGGCGTGCTGTGTCCACTTCCCCCACTAATTTCGCGAACAGCATTCAGCGTGTCAATGCCCAGTTCTACACACATAACACAGGCATGGCCAGCGCTAGTGAATCCCTCGTCACGAATGGGGTTGCGTCCCAATTCCTTGGGAAAGTGTTTTTCACCTTGCTGAGCGACTTAAACCTAAGTCATCGTGGGTTGAACATTATCCCGCCCCTTGGTCATTTCGTTGACCACATTAGCGGGAACTCGTGAGTTAGTTCCTTTCGGGATGGTCTACATTTGGCTCATAGTAGCCCTACCAAAGTTTTTTCATTCGGTCTAGAGTCACTCCTTACGACTATTGGTACTGTCCCCAATCGTGTAACGCGAACACTGCGGTCTATGCTTCGCGCACCGAACGCACTCGCTTCACTGTTAGTCGCACCGACAGAGGCACTGCAGGGACCGTCATGATTGGTTCTGACAAGATCACCGTCACGTTGACCACCGTCAATCTGTCCGTTGACGTCGACGCCAGCACTGGTCATGCAATTCTTTCACCTGATCCTCAGTCGGAGTTGACATTTAGTGCACTTTTGAGCAACTTTACCGTTGGGTCTACCTTGTTTGAGAACGATGAGAGGGTGAAGGAGCTCCTCTACACGGAGAATGGGGAGGAGTGGGAACTCGCTTGAGCCGCTATCATTTGACACAAAGTTGTTTTGTACTGGTACTGTATAGTCTCCATAGAGAGCCGTTTATGGACGAAGGTATTTGTTCCCTGTACTGTTACTAACGCTTGGAAGCAATTGCGTTTTTTGTTGAATACCTGTGACCATGTGTACCATCATTCATCAAAGAACTGGTCAAAAAATCAGAATGATATATATATAACAATATATAGTCCATAATCACAAGCATCGGCATGACCTTGTGGAAATCTGGCAAGCTTCGCAGGGTTGCAGATGCCAGATACCCCAGGACTCAAAAGACAGATACTTCGCTGTCAGCTCTCTGCTCCCGATTCTCCACAACCATACGAAACTGGCCCCTGGGAATATATTAGCTGCGTGATAAACCAGCTATTATGGGGTAAAACATTCCGGGGAATGGAAGTCCTCGAGCTCCACACAGTTGATCTGTATATGTGACTGCCAAGCTTCCGGTAAATGAAAGACTGATTTCAGGGCCGCAAAGTTATACATTGGGCACCCAAATACCAAAATTGACCGCGTGTTCAAATTGGCTCCCGTGACCACGCAGAAACTGATTGTACCTCGGGTAGCTTTTCAGAAGAAAGAGGCACTAACAGAAAATAGGCACTCCCATGATCACGATAACGGTTACTATAACACATGGTTCGTAACAACCAGGTCCAGACTCCCTTGGTCCGAAATAATCGAAGCCTTGTGGGCACGAATTCTCGCAATCAACGTGTCAACACGAGCCTAATCGTCAAAATCAGGGGGATGACTCGGACTCACCCGCAGTGGCTCTGGAACACCCTCCGCACAAAACCCATACAGATTCCGGAGTTTATACTTCGGTTTGATCGTTCCGACATTCCAGTCCTGTAGTTCCCCTGCATAAGCACAATCATCAAGCTCAGTCTGCTCCTTCACAAGAGTAGGGAAAAGGTTTTTGAATCTTGGACCGTCGGACGGAGTCTTTCCAATGTGTCTGTCCGAAATTCGTTTATACATCAATGTGATAAGATTCAGTGCACGATACCTTAGTAAGTCGACAACGCCAAGTGATAGGCGACTCTTTACTTTCTCAGAATGCCAGACAGAAGCTTCAGGAACAGTTGTATTGGTCTGCCTATACGAGGCTATAGTCAACCGCAGTGCAAATCTGTGACACCCTCAAACCGAGGGAGGCTGGGGGCATCTTGATGGAGTGTGCTTCATGTTAGATGCGCATAAGTATCTCGAGCATTCATGGAAAACGAGTTACACGTTAGAGCAGGGACTAGCAGCCTAAGCCCAGCCTGTCGCTGTTAGGTATGATACCGTATGAACATGGTGCTACTACGTGCTGACTTAGCTGCGGAAAGAGCCGCAGAGACCCCGAATGCGCAGTCCTGCTCGTGGAACCTGCTCCGAACGTAGTACCTGTTCAGAGAAATCAAGCTAAGATGTTGGGGACCAATGGCCTGAGACTGAGAGGTATCGCCAGAATGCACAGAAATGAGAGTGTTACCGCAGCATCACTATTTGCGGTCCATATCGCTGGATTAATGTTAACTGAACTGGCTGTAAAGCAGATGACGAACTTGTTGTACAGTATGTAGACATGACGAGTGGCCGGCTGAGTGCAGAGAAATGGATGATGTGTACTCAGACTTGTTTCCACGGAGTCCCACCAGTGTCACTGGGATCGGCGAGATGCTCGGGAACCTTGGCACGAGGCTCGGTAATGGATGCAGTGAACGTTGAGGTGTTGTTGGTGTACGACTCGATCGAGCCGACCTTGAAAGAGAAAGTTATACGGATCACGAGAACTCCAAGATAGAGTACCTTCACAGTCCGAAAAGCAAGTCTACAAATGATAATGTATATTCTACGCACACGAAACAAGTACAACGCGTCATCGCGTTTTTATTATAGTGTTGTACAAACTTCCTTCAAAACTCCAAGTTGCAGGTGCGTCTACGTCGAGTTTCCGGAATGAGTACTGCAACAGGCGCTGCCTTTTGCAAATAAAAGAAAGAAATAACAGCAGAGCCAAATTCAATGAAAAAGTGCACCTCGCGTGTAGAGTATGGGATGGTCGAGGTGTCACGAGGGATGATATAAATGTCGGTTGAAATTTACCAGCAGGGTTGTGTCTAAATGACCAGTTATCACAAGGTCGGTGATGCATGATAAGAGAACATACTGATCTGGTTACCATGAATTTTGAGTCATGACTTCTGGCAACATCCTGTCGTAGTCAATCCTTTAGATGCATTCTAGCAGAGTAAAGAAAGTCACCGAACTCGCCTGTATTTCCTCCTGAACAATTACCTTCGACAGCTGTATGGGCATCTGTACTGAAGGCTGCATGGACTCGGTAACTATACTGAAGTTCGTAGACTTTCTTGCTTCACGGTCTGTGCCACGACCTCGTATGATTTTTCGAGTGTTCAGTCTAAGCAATGATATAAGTGAGGCACTAAGAACAGCTTCGTAATCCGCTCACGTAGCCAGGAATGATATCGCATACACTGGATAAGCCTATCTTAGCTTGATATCAGAATGACTTATTTATGACTTACGTTTGCTCAGAACAAAATACATGCATATAAACACGAAGTTCTTAGGCATGATGTTGAACTTTCCATACAATTCAGTCTGTGAAACTTGTGCATAGCGTTATCACACACCACAATAAGAGTCGACAGGCTGATAGTGCTGTATATAAAGCATGTATCAGGCTTTGAACCTGGGAAAGCACCGGTGAGACCAACCTGGTAAGAAGACCGGTATTCACTGCGTATATTGTTAACGTAGCAATCATGGAGTCCGCACTAGAATAGCGGATGTATAAGAATGTGACAAATGTAAACTTGTGAGACGCACGTTAGGTGGCTTGAGCGCATTTTCTGAAGGTAAAAGCACAATGCGGCAGCTATGCTCACGTCCGTGACTACTCCCATGCCCAAGGAAATGCTTCCCAAAGACTACAAAAGGTGAGGATGGAAAATAGATAACCGTAGACTCACGTACCTTCACGGCAAGAACGTGCGAGTAAGAAGGCAATTCGAAACTGTTTCATGTACTATGTCAGTATACTTTACGGTATAATCAAAGAAAAATGAGAACCATTTTATAGTGAAGGCTGATAACAAGATTCAGAATAGTTCTGGAGGAGAAGCTAGTATGGACTCACCGATTGCCGTGCCAAGTTGTGCAATAACCATCAAAAACTTCGCAAGGACCCTTATCAGCACAGCGAAATGCGAAATTAAGTTCAACATACCAAGAACCCTGTGAGCCACCAATTTCTGTAGCTGACTGTGCAAAGATCAACAGGAAGTTCTGAAATAGCAAGAAGACAGTTCCCTACACCTCCAGACTCGTAGTGTAAAACAACTATCAGAAGCCGAAGTCAGTCATGGTTCACACGTTCACATCGGTAGAATTATTCCACGTACGCCTTGACAATGGCACCAACAACAGCCTGTATTCGAAAGGATGCTCCAATTAGATATATCCAGATACAATTCACAGGTGACACTCACGCCTAAAGTCATTTGCAGCTATTACACGAGGGAAGTTCAATTTATGTGAACGGTGAGTAAAAGTACGCTCTCACTATAAGACTCCTGATCAAAAAGTTAGAGGGAAAGAGGTTGTTAGTTGGAACAGAAGGGCTCACCACTGAGGTTTTCCTGTAGCCAATGGGACCGGATTCAAGTAATTTCTAGTTCATTCGTTCAGGGATGTGAGGCAAGGATAGCGGGCGACTCACGTGACAGTGTAGAAGTATACAGCGTAACCAACGAAGGATTGATCCACGACAGAAAACGACCTTGATAATCTGAGCCTTGTTTTCAGCAGGGTAGACATCCACCTCACCATATCAATGCAGCCTGATCGAATTTTTTTGTACGATGAACGTGTAGGTGAACCTGATATTATTCCTGCACTTACGAGAGCCTTGTATGCAGCCTTGTCTTGGGGAAAACGCCTATAGTAGGTGAACACTTGAATGGTCAACATTCCAAATGCACTGTAACGCAAGGTCGAGTTCAGCACCAAAAGGGCAAATTCGTGAGTACTTACGTGGCAGAGACAGCAAAACCTACAAGCAAAGCACCGAGGGTATTATCGAAACGCGGGAGGACGTCTTCTGCGGGCATCTTCCAGACCCAGCCAATGAGGATGAACAAAGGGATGGGTGAAGATGGAAGTTGCGATTAGAACACAGCAGTATGAAATAGTCGGCTGAAATGCAAACGCATGGCCTTCAAGTTGGGTATCGTCCGTAAACGGATTGGATTACTATCCGATAAAGTTGCGGAGCTGGCAACAGCGCTCCCGCTGTGGCAGTGGACGATGCTCCAGCCTCGTCCGGGCACCGCGTGGAAGTTGGCGTTGAGTGGGATCAGAACAGAATCGTCCAAAATTACATCTTGGTAAAAAAATTTATCAAGAGAGGAATGGGTCTTCAACACATCATGCGCATTTCAATTTGATCAGTGATTTACTTGAAGGTTGCCAAATGCGGAAGCGGAGGATTCGCGGGCCGGCGGCAGGTTGAGAGAATGCGGGACCGATGAGCACATGTATGGTATCCGCCAGTCAGCTCCAGTTCGGCATCGTAATCGTACTACAAATAATATCTAAGAATTGGGGTGCCGCAGTACAATGCCGAGCGTCTATCAGTAAAGTTGTGCCTGAACATTTTCTAATTTGAATGTTCCGAATTCGCCAACATCGCAGGACGCGCAGTTACTTCAGGTTTCTGTGTCCTCCGCCTTCGGATATTATCACAAACTTCCTATCGGCGAAGCAGGAATGATCCTGACGCAACCTATATCGTCAATATTTAGTACGGACCGAAAGAAGCTTTGGCATAAGACTTCGATCACTTCGTACTGCTCAACGTTTATCACGCTGGCCTGTTTGAAGCCCGTTATTTCCATGTGGCCGAAGGCTGTGGCACTGCGGTAGCCTCGACATGAAGAAAGGGATAGGCACAGGGGCATACAAATGTGCATGTATCCTATTCTAGAACCCCGAGCGAATGGTTGCAGATGGTTACACCAACTCGAAAGCAAAGATAGGATCGATAACAACTGTATCGATGGTAGGGGTGACTTACGTTTAGCGCAAAGTGCCGAAGCCATAGTCTGCGGACAACATACACGTTGAACGGCATCAAGGCGGTGATGGACATCAATTACCAATTTGCAGAATGAATGCTAGATAAGAGTTTTGCATCACAGCTAGCACGAGGTCCATTAACAAAACCCATTTGCAAGGGCGCATCCATTGTAACACTGACCTAGTAGAGCCTCGGTGATTTCCCGCGTCCAAATATCCAAACCCGGGGTTGGTCCATCATACTACCAGCATTGCGGTTCCTGGCGCATGTGAAAAAAAAATTGAAAATTGACCAGGTTCCGTTTCAATGAATGTTGTGGTAAGTGATGGGACATGTGCAACAGCGTCGGAGTGGCAATGAATGCACTCCGCGTCCCATTACATAAGGGAGGTTCCATTTTTATGTCCGCGTCGCCTCCATCCCGCCTTAAGCTTAAGCTTAGAAGTTCGTGCCATTTTACCTTCTTTTACCTTATCCAGAAATTGATTGTCTTTTTTTTTGTTCTAAAGTCAGTTGACCTCCGCATCTCCTCCAAGTAGCAGCCCTTGCAATACATCCCCTCTGATCGATGTATGCCTCGCAGTAAGATGGAACGGATGGATATGATCTGATCTAACAGGTTTATAAGTGAATGTGTCAATCTCGCATAAAGGCAAATTGTCAGGCGTTTACTTCATGTACAACTTGTGTTCGACACTCGCTTTGTTCTTCCATCGTGCAGACATAACCCATGCGGACACCACAACCAAATGCTTCTATCCGTAAGGCTTTGCCAATTTCATATCTTTCTCCAGCTTCCACAACAACTTTGACGCAATTTCATAGAATCAGGGTCCCCCATTCTCGCCAGTATTAGTGATGCGAACGGTGATCTACAAACGGACCTTCCCCTCAGAGGCGGCCACTCGCGTTCCATTTCATCAGATCAAAAGTACACCGAAAATCTTCACCGTAAGGTTTTCAGTCGATTTGATATTTTTTTCCAGGCTTCACAACAATAACCTCGGTTTTTCCATTATCGGTCCTCAACACATAGCACACCTGCAAACTGCTCCGTTTCCAGGCGCTGGAACTCTTTGATGCGATTTCAAAGAATTTGAGTTGCCCATTCTCATCGGTGTTAGTGATGCTAACGGTGATTTTCTCGTTGGTGTTGTTGACTATGGTGACTTCGTTCATGATCATGATATTGCCTGCTTCTATGTCCAGAATGATTATCATGGTCTCCCTTTATAATATAGTATACCTCTAAACGTACCTCCGATTTGGTAAGTTTTTCCAGGCTCCCCAACAAACACCTCAGTGTTTCCATTGTCGGCCCTCAACACATAGCACACTTGCAAGAGGTTTCGTTGCCAAGTGTCAGAGTACTTTGACGCAATTTCATAGAATCCGGCTCCCCCACTCTCGCCAGTGTCACCGATGCTAACGGTGATTTTGTCTTTTGTGTTGTTGACAATGGTAATCTTGCCCATTTCGCCTGCCCGCTCGTGTGTCCAGCATGATTATTATGAACTCTCATTATCTGAACGCACCTCGAAGGTAGAGTGTAGTAGAAAGATCCCACACGAGACTTCGATACAGAAGTAAGATATCTCTAGAGAACGGGTCAGACGAGATAGAAAATCTAGACCAAAACACTCGCTCACAGGAGTGGCGAGGGGACGGACTCCTTGACTTCAATTCAAACATCGCATATTTATACTGAAACATGCACGACTGTCTTCTCATCTCCGATATAGAAACCCGCAGACATAATGCGATTGAGTTATGGTCGGATGGATCTTCCAATGTTTACTCTCTACTCCGTCCCGAGAACCCGACACGAGACACCCAATCCGAATTAGATGTCGTGACTTCAACGAGTTGCCACAAGCAAACCATACGATCTGTTCACCTCAGAGGCGACCGCTCGCGTTTCATTCCGTAAGATCGAAAGTACACCGAAAATATTTTTCACCATCCACATCATGATTTCGGTGTCGTACTGAAGTCCGCAGATTCCCTCTCATCAAAAGATCCAGCCGCTATTCTCCCGCGATCTGCAAACCGATAATAGTGTCCTATGGCCTTGTAGTAGGGACGTGATGTGAGATATTATCGGCCGCCTTTCCTGTTGGGATGTGTAGGCGTCTCATCAGATCGATTGTCTAGCATGCCTGGCGGGATGAGGCGAGGAGAAAACAAACTTTGATGCTGAAATGATGGTGTGTAATCAGGGTGCGTTGCTAGTGCCCCATACATACATGGGCGCCATGATCCAAGAAGCAACGCGTAAATGCATTCTTCGCCCGGCGCGACGCGTACCCCCTATCCATTTCGGGTGAACTTCTCGGATAATCGACTTCCTTGTTTGAGAACATCGTATCGATGAAAAAGACTCATACATGCGGTATGGTCAGGCCTTGTGTGCTCCCGTGTGGCATGATGCCAAATGGTTCTCGCCGTACATCGTGGTCGTAGATTCAGTCATCCGAAAACAAGCAAGTTCAAACATCTGTAAAATGTACGTAATTACCGCAGTGTCATGTGGTGGATAAACGTTAAACAAGGGCTATCGGAGGCAAGGCCCGCGACTCGAGCCATGCGATGCGTATCACAGTCGTTGCTGGTGACCGAAGACACTAATCTGCAAAATGAATTTACAGTCGCGTTTTGCATCATAATTAATTATTAAGGTCTCTTGAAATATTGTACATTACCAAATATAATTTGCAAGGATGCGCGCTGATTGTAACACCCAACTGCAACAGAGTACTAGGACAGAACCTTTGTGATTTTCCGCCTCCAAAATATGTGCAGTATATTTAAAAATAGAGTCGGTTGACCCACCACTCTCTAGGCAGAGAGATCCTAGCTAGGTTCAACATTAGCCACCCTCTCTGCAGTGTTACAAGCGTAAGAGACTCACCAGTTTTGCAAGGCGTACATTCTGCAGATTCCAGGGGATCACAATGGATGTACAAAAAGGGCATGCAGTACTTTCTCGCAGCGTCGAACTCAGAGGATCAATATCACTTCAGATATCAAGTTCCACTAAATCAAGATTCATGGCAGTTCCACTTTAACCACGTCGCCTTCACCCGTCACCCCCATTTCGACACTGCCATCCCGATCCAAAATCTGACGGAGAGAAGCCCGCGTTAACGATCGTCCGAACTCCACGGGTACTCCCACTCTCGCCAGGCAAAGCCTCAACATATCTTTGACGGTAGTCGTAGCAAGCCCACCACCACGGACAGGATTAGGCAACGACAGCCCTCGTAAGATGTGTCCTGGAGTTAGAACAGACCCTACTTTTCTCCCTCGCTTAGTTCGTGCCACCTTGACTTGTCCAGCGACTGGAACAGCACCACTATTTCCAGCACCAGATGCGATCGCAATATCCCGTTTTGCAACGTCCACTGCAGAGCGCACAAGAGCAGCAATAAACGGTTTGAGCACAGCGGCTAGTAGTGCTGATGGTGCGAACGCCTCTTCGATCTCCGAATTTGTACGACGCTTATCCAGAGAAGGAGAGAGAAGTTCAGGGAAACGTGGAAGACGCAAAGACCCGACTCTTCTATGAATAGCAAGAATAAGGTCTGGTGGACTTAACGAGGTAATCTGCCGCGCAGAATAACGCCAAGGTCTGAGCAGAGAAGAAGCTATGGGTTGATGTGGTGGCGGTCCCACGTCCCCCGCAGTTTCCCCGGCGTATAGGGCAATTTCGAGTCCACATCCAAAAATCTTCATCAAATCGACAATGGGTATTCGCTCAAGTTCGTGCGGCGGAACGATGTCGCAAACCCAGGTTCCTGTTTCGTCAAAAACTGGCTCCTTTTTCACTTTGACAGTGGCAGCAAGTATAGGGTGGAAGCGTTTCTTTATGCCACAGACAAAGCAGGGTTCATCCACCGGCGAAAGCGTGGATTCTTTCTCCTTGTCCTTCGATTTGTCCTTCTTTTCTTTCGCACTCGGTACAGGAACTTCGATCTTCGAAGACGAACGCGGAAAAAGCCCCGAGTCTTCTAGGAAGGCATAGACATCACCAACAGTGAGGGAGATCAATTCTGCGGAGGCCGAGGCAGCGTGCTGGACATAAAGTGCTTGCAGTGCTCGGGCTCTTCCCCACTACCAACAAATTTAGAAACATGAAGCGAAAAGGCCGATAACGATACAGATACGCACTTCAATGGCTTTCCGTCTCCCAGGTACAAGCGCTAGAAGATGCGCCGGCGAGGGAACGAGCTTATATGGTACCTGGAAAGGTGAACGGAACTTCATATCTATGGTAACGTTACATCAGAAAATTGCAGATGAACACGCGCTGCAGCGCTAGTCAGAAATACCTTTGAGCGTCATAGGGACTCTTGGCAACAAACTCCGCAGAACCTTCTCGTATCCTAATTCATCTATGGATTCTCGAGGCTTCGTCACAGATTGCCTTGTAATTTCTGCAGGTTCACGTTCCAAGGAAGGAATAGGCAGTGGAGGACCGGAAGGGACAGGGAGGAGGCGTGTCCCTCTATCAAGTTCGACATCGAGAACTTGTTCTGAGCCAAGGACAGAGCTCGCTGCGTTCCCAGGGTCAAGCTACGTGAAGTTGAATACGAGTGACGCGAGGCCAAAAGCAAGACATACATCAATCCAATGTTCTACTTCCATTCTCCCGCCACTGGCCCACTCCATCACGACCTTCGCAAGGAAGGGCTCAGAAGATGAGCCTATGATGGCAAAGGGCACTTTGTCCACAGTACAAGGCTGCCGTTGAGTATTATCAGATGGAGCCACCGCCAAAACTGTTAAGCGTATCATGAATGAGGCCAGAGCTATCGACTACGGAAACGTGGAGATCTATCATAAGGCTTAGAGGATGAGAGAAATAGAACACACGCACATAAGAAGGAGCAGTGACACTGAGCATCCACCGATGAGTATGCGACGGTGGAATACCGAGGTCTAACCGTCGGCCTACACGGATACAATTAAATTCAATGAATATGTTGCAGAATATGAGCATACTTGGCGAGATAAATAAACTTCTATCCGTGATATGCACACGAGCGGTGATATGGAAGCGTGAAGTTGTGCTTCCTGGTATCGCGGGAGTTGCTGTATTTTCTGCAGCGTTATCAACAAGAGCAGGCATGTCGACAACGAGATCGAGTTCAGGGCGAGCTTTATTTCGATGCGGAAAAGCCATTCGCCAAGGACGACCACCGCCCTCGTCTGCTCTCCTCATAACTCCTTCCCTACTTTCGAAACCGGGGGAAGGCCTGCATGAAGCAGTATCTATACTCAGAATGTCAACTTCTGTATCTTCCTTATAAGCATGTATGCATCTTCGTTTGGGGGTTCTGCCAAGAAACGGAGCAAGGGCAGGGGAGTCTGCATGTAAACCGAGGGTGCGTGAAAGTAAGGTGCTGGGCATGGCCGCAGCTCCCTGTCCTTCTTCGTGAACAAGAGATGCGGGAATATTGACACCGACAGCTCGTTCAAATAGTCGTTGTAGACCGACAACACTACCTCCCCAAGGTACTTCAATACCTTCCTCTTCGACCCGATCTTTCTCCACATCATCACTGGAGGGTATTGGAACAGCACAAGCCGTGATGCACGCGTCATGACTGGCCCACTCAATGCCATGAGCAAGCCGTGCGTGATTCAAGAGCCCTTGAAGAGTGCTGAACTGCGTGCGAGTACAAGTAGGACAAGTAAGGATAGCAATCTGCTCATCAATGGCTGTCTGTGAAGGGGGCAGACGGATATAGAGCAGTTTTTTCTGCGGATGCAATTTTGCTGCGGCTGTACGTGTCGGCCTGACCTTTGGAGGTATTCGCTCGCGCTGTGTTGGGGCGACAGGGGAGAATGAACGAAGAGAAGAAGGTTCAGCGTCATCGTATACTGACTCTTCTCGATCAAATAAGAAGGCACAAGGTACTTCGACAGCGTTAAGGGCGTCTAAAGCAGCTTCTTGAAAGTCGTCTAGCGTAGCATCAGGAACTGGAGTGGACGAGTCCCGAGTGAGAGCCTCCTGCAGTATAAGTGCCCATGTTATGCGAGATTCGATGGTGTTTAGAAGGCGTTGGCGGATAGCAATATCCAGGTCAATCTCTTCAGCAATAAGTTGGCGTATTCCAAGGTCGGCTTCATCTGAAAGATATCAGGTGTAGGTTACACAGAAAGTTCTGAGCTACCGCGCACCTTCTGTCACGAATTTAGTTTCAAGTTCATTGTGATCCTCGTGAAGTGAGAAGCGCCTGCGTTTTTGTGGACGAGAACCGACCACATCGTGTAAGGAAAGTGAATGGCTCATGTACACATTCTACTTGTCCCTCGGAGGAAACACACAGGTCACATCGCGTTGTGTCACAGTCGCGTCACAATTGTCACGCGACTGTTGTCACACACCTCACCACCATCCACTACGTCGAGATCCAACACAACCAAAAAGATATGGGAATCAAAGGACTCACAGCACTCATCTCCGAGCATGCACCAAAGGCTATTACAGAACATGAAATCAAGACCCTCTTCGGACGCAAAGTCGCCATAGACGCGTCCATGTCCATATACCAGTTCCTTATTGCTGTCCGCCAGAAGGATGGCGAGATGCTCACAAACGACGCGGGGGAGACGACGAGTCATTTGATGGGTTTTTTCTATCGTACCATACGTATAGTCGAGAATGGAATCAAACCCGCGTATGTATTCGATGGCAAACCTCCCGAACTCAAGTCGGGCGTGGTATGTGGCTTAATCATATTGTGTATG